CAGAATTGTCCACATTGGCCTTTAATTCATGATCCTCCTGGCTCAGCTTTGCAGAGCGCTGGATGACAAGTGTGCACCACCACACCCAGGTCCCCTTCAGAATTTAGGAACCGCACTAGGGCTAGATATTCCTGTCATCCCAGCTGCTTGGGGTTAAGGCAGGAGGAGTTTGAGGCCAGTCTGAGCAATTTAACAAGAACCTGTCTCTAAAGACAACTAAAGAAAGAGCCACACTAGGGAAACTGCATAAATCCTCCGGGGGGAGAAGACTGGCTCCCAGAGGAGGAAGCGCGTTCTGAAGAGTTGCTTTCTGCTGCCACGCTTTGTGGCTGTGGAAGGAGCCGCTTCCTTCCTACCTTGCACCGGCTGTAGCTGGGATCTTGCAGAAGCGCTTCGGAGGCAGAGCTGTCTGTGTGGAGCGGGAAGCACTAGTAGTGCTGTGGTGATGTGAGCCGTCGACTTGGGTAACAGCAGAGCGAGCGCCGGCACAGGCGTCTCCCAGCAGCGCGTAACCAGCAGAGAGCCCAGTCCTGGGCAGCTGCGTGGTCACCGTGTGGTGTCAGTCAGTGCTTACTAGAGAAACAGATATGGCACAAGATGCACAGAGGTAGGGGACGGTGCTGATGGCACCCACAGGGCCAGACACAGGGCATCTGCACACTGGGGAGCGAGGGGTCCAGTCCCAGGTCTGCAGCACCCTGCGGGCCCATGCAGATTGTAGCAGGGGGCCAGTGAGTCTGCTCTTGGAGCCAGGAGACGACGTCCGAGGTGAAGGCAGACTGGAGCTCCTCCGAAGACCCAGAGCGGTTCTGTCCCTCCGCATTTCCTCTTTGTGCTGCCCAGACCAAAGCGCCAGGGTGTGGGGTGGGCTTAGTGGAGGGCACCATCAGTTGGTCACCCATCGCATATGCCAGTTGGACGTGTTCGTGCTTTTCTCCCCGGTGCTGAAGGAGCAGGAGTAGTCAGCTAAAATATCCCCTTGCACGCAGCCGCCCTCTAGGGATGACTCACGTTAGCAGCTTCCTCCTCCAGGTGACAAGAGCTGGGCCTGTTCTTCTCCTCTTACATCACACGAACTTTCATAGGAAAAGCAGGAAGTTCTGATACTTCCTAGAAGTAAGGCAGCAGAAAGATGGGCATGCGGTGGGGTGGGTGCTTGGCGTGGGGGAAGGGTCGGAAGCCCACTAGGGAGCTGGGCTGGGTGCTGGGGACCCTGTGCTGCCTTGAGCCGAGTACCCTGGGAGGCTCTGGCCAACACTTATGTGCAGGGCAGCAAGCCGCGTCGAGCCACTGTGCCCCGGGTTCTCCCCAGTGCTCTGAATTTTGCTGAATTTCCATTCAGGTGAAAGCATAGCCATTCAGGTTTGCCCAGAGCCGGTGGAGAAAGCACTGTCACCAAAATGTGGGCGCTCCTAGCGGAAGGGCACAGAGCCCGAGTGCTGAGGGAGGGCTGCACTCGGGCGGTGCTGGAAGGCTTCCTGCTCCGATGGGGGCCTGACTGCATCTGCATTCCACATGGTAAAGATACTGTGGAGGAGAATTTTAAATGCTAATTAGACCTATTTCTGTTATGTCACCAACATTTAATTTACTTATAGTGAAAGAGGTTTTTGTTTGTTGTATCAGAGAAAATGATCATATTAGTACTATTAGCCTTTTTAGCCAGATAGTATCTTCCGTGCTTTATGTTTCTCAATTATAAGTGTCAGCCCTCAAAATCTAGGTTGTGGGGGGTTTCCCTTCACACTGACAGTACTCCAGACAGAAGTCACTTCGACAGGTAGCATTCCCCAGGGAGCCAGACTGAGGGACCATCCTGCTTCTCTGCTGGAAGAGGAGTTGGCAGCAGGGCCCTGCGGTGCCACCTCAGGAGTGTCTAGCCCACTCAGCCCTGTTGCCGGGAACTGAGGTGGGTGCTGGGTCTTTGGGGTGCTCTCAGGTTGGCCTGGCACATGAGAACTTCCAGCCTGGGCTCCTTTTTGGCTTCTATTTTACTTTGCTTTGAATATGGCTTTGCCTTGTCCAAGAATCCACAAAAGGGTAGCTTTAAGGGTTCAGGAATGTGGTCACTGGAGGGTGGGTTAACGTGACGTACACACAGGATGCCCAGGATCACGGAAGGAGAACTTGCACAATGGGGATTTGGGAGCCAACAGAGACCAGGAACCCAGTGTCCTTTGGGTCCCTTGGTCCTACTGCAGCATGAGTGACCTGAGTCCTGGGGACCAGGCGGGAGCATGGGGACATGGACACAGCAAGCAGTGCTGCCTTGTGACCTCTTATTGCAAGGGTGGAGACTCGGCCTGGTGAGCCCTGGGGAGGCCCCGAGAGATGCTGGGTTTGGTATGCTGTTGCTCAGTTCTGTTTTCTTTTGATGGTTAGGAAAGGGGCTTGGGATTTTTGTTGGTGGTGTGGTTGTAAAACATGTTACGAAAGACACAGGGTGTTTTTTCTTGATTTTTGTTTCGGTTATTTGAAACAGGGTCTCACTGGCCTGCCTGGCGGGCCTCCAATTGGCACATGGCCTGTGTCCTCAGAGTTTACAGTCCGAGCCCTGCAGGGAGGTGTCCCCAGCCCCATGTGTGCAGGGGATCTGCCCTCGGGTCCTGCCCGTAGCTTTCTCTTTGGAAACCTGATCAACATGTGAGGACCCCGGTGTTCCACGATGGCCTTGAATGGGAGCTGAGTGGTTTCCTATTCCCAGAGCTGTTCTGCTGATGTGCAGGGCTTTGTGAGTTTGTGCACATTACCTGTACAGAACTGCTGTGGGATTCTTCTTTGTAATTCACAAATTGGAATGAAGATGTATCAAAGTCCAGGACACCTGAACTGCCTGCAGCCTTGGACAGTGAGTCACGCAGATAACAGCTGTGAGGTTATTTTCACCTCCTGCCAGGTGTGGTGGCCCTGGGGAAGGAGAGGCGGGTGTCACTGCCTGCTCCAGGCCAGCCTGGGCTCCTCAGCCAGAGCCCGTCCTGAGAAAACAAAGCAGTTTAACACTTAATAGGATTAATGTCAGGTTTTTCTAGGAAAAATTTTACTTCAAGGTATTTTCCTGCTGTTGTTATTGAGTGTCAGCACTTATTTCATATAATGCTATTCATTCTTCCCAGCTGGCTTCGGATTTAGGATCTTCCTGCTTCCGCTTCTGTGGTAGCTGGGATACGACTACCCCTGTGGGTCATAATTTCCAGTGTAATAACATTTTAATTTTGTGTTTTGCAGGGAGGGCATTGAGGTAGGGTCTTGCTATGTAGTGCAGGCTGGCCTTGAACTCTATGTAGCCCAGGCTGGCCTCAAATTCATGGCAGTCCTGCCTCAGCCTCAGATGCTGAGATTATAGCATGTGCCATCATGCCCAGCAATGATTTTTTTGGTACTGGGGATTGAACTCAGGTCCCACTGAGCCATCTCACTGGCCCAGCAATGATATTTTATTTATTTATTTATTTATTTATTTATTTATTTATTTATTTTGGTGGAACCGGGGATTGAACTCAGGCCCTGTGCTTGCCAAGGAAGCGCTTATCCACTGAGCCATCTCCCCGGCCCCCCAGCAATGATATTTTAAAAGAGTTCACATTGCCCTATTTTGTTGTTGAATTATTATTTTGTATTCACATGAGAAAAATTGCAGAAAGGTACCAGAGAGCGTACAGGACGGCTAATGTCCCGGCAAGTGGTTTTCCTACACGACCTGTGTTTTATGAGTGCACGTTATGGTCCTTCCTTCCTCATTCAACAAGCACTCCTTGTTCTTCCAGTGCTGTCAGCCGATCCCCAGCTCTGTCTCCTGGGTGCAGCTGCTCACTGTCCCTCACTGTCACCCAGCACCCCACCCCTACCCCACCCCACCCCTCACTCTGTGCGGGCACACCCCTTTCCGGAAGTAGCATCTCTAGAAAGGAAAGCCTGGGTTATATTGTATACTGGCTTGCCCTAAAAATAATGCTTTTCTTTGTCTAAGGCAATATGTTTATAGTAAAGATTAAAACACTTCAAAAACTAATGAAAAGGGGGCCCAGCCCTAGCTCAGTTCTTTAAGTGGCTGCTTCCACAATGCTGGCAGCCTCAGTTTGCTGTAGTTCGATCCCCACAACACTCCAGCCATGCAAAAGTGCCCTGAAGGCATTCAAGGAGCAAAACACACACACACACACAAAAAAAAAACTAATGAAAAGAAGTGAAAGGTGAGTCCCCGAACCTGGTCCCACTCCCCAGATGGTATACTTTCTTGCTGTTGCTTGTCTGCTAGATTTTTGTTTTTCTTTTTTCCAAAGAACCCAGAAGGCTGGTAACCCCACCCTAAGTTACATCACCACTTACTCCGTACAACCCTCTCGCGGGCACACTTAACATGGTCCCTTTAGGGACGCAGCACTGTGGCCAGGGCTGACCCCGCAGAGAATCTGCTCCTGGGTTGCTGCTGCCCGTGACCCCTGCAGTCTCCCAGATGACCTGGGAGTGCATGCCCCCTTCACTTGGATTTGCTTCAGAAAGGGTGAAAGCTTTTAAACCTTGCACCGGTGTGCCCTTGCTAACTCAGGCTTGTCACCTGTTTGCCAAGTTAGTGGAGGAGTGTGAGGCAATCCAATTTCTTTTCGTTATGATGAAGAATTTGGGCCTTTCTTTTTCTGGTGCAGCACTGGGACCCCTACAGGTGTGTCTCGAGGATTGTTTACTGTTACTGTATTGTTAATGTTCGGGTATTAGTCTGGTCCTGTATTTGTCAGAGTGGTTTCCAGTTTGCCATTCTTTCCTTGTATTCGTGAACTCCATGGCTCGAGAGAGGCGTGGAGGGTGGGGAGTGAGTGGTAGGGGGAGTAAAGGACCCGGATCACTCGAGTGGCTAAGTCCTTTCACTGTGCGGGAAAGGCTGTGACAAAAATGACTGAGTGCGCTCAGCTCTTTCCTGGAAGCGAAGCAGGAACCACAGAGGGCGCCGCTCTGCGGGTGCAGGCCAGGCAGCAGTGCTGAAGCCGCGTGTCTGTCCTCCCCAGAGGTGCTGTCGGCGATGGTCAGCGTGCTGCTGGTGTACGTCCTGATGGGCTTCCTGCTCTACGAAGCCGTGCAGAGAACCATGCACACCAACTACGACATCAACGGAGACGTCATGATCGTCACCGCGGCCGTCGGCGTTGCCGTGAATCTCCTGTAAGCTGCGTACGCGCACAGCCGCGCTTTCAGCTCCACGCGTGCGTTCAGATGGTGGAGTTACGTGGTCATGTTTTAAAAATATTTGTATTAATCTTAAATATTTAAAAAGTAGATACTGTAAATTCCTCTTTTTCCCTTCCTGTTTGAATCCGGGTCTCACTCTGAAGCCCAGGCTGGCCTGAACTCACTATGTAACCTGGGTGGAGCCCAAATATCTCCTGCCCCAGCCTCCTGACTGCTGGGATTACAGGCATATGCCATGGAATTCCTCTTTAGCTTGCTCAGATATAAAGGATGTTCGCCTCACCTTGAGCTCACTATGTATCCCAGGCTGGCCAGGAATCACGGTGATCCCCTGCCTCAGCCTCCAGTGCAGAGATTACAGGCGTATGCCGCTACGCCCAGCAAATATGTGTTCAACATTTAGAGTACTTTCATTTAGTTAGGTTTTTTAAACTGCCGGGGTTTTTTTTCCTAAAAGGTACCAAATGTTAGATTATGTACTTAATCATTTAAACCAGAGGTCAGCCATCTTTTTCTGCAAAGGCTGGACAATGGGATTTGCGATCCAGCCCTCAGTTGCGAAGCTGTCCCTCCCTGAGGTGACGGTGACAGGAGAGCAGCCACACTTGCAGTCCCGAGACAGCTGCCCACTAGGAATCAGCCGGGCGCTCGCTCCCAGCCCGGCTTCCCCCCACACTCAGAACACATCGGAAACCCCGGCCCCAGCGTCCAGCCCCGTCAGGGCCTTCCCCTTGTGCCGCGGAGCTACACGCCTCTGCCTCGCCTTCGTGTGGCGCTCTCCCTTCTCCCAGTGTGCTGGGGTCCCACCGCTCCCTCGAGCGCCAGGTCTGCTTCCGTGGGCTTCTCCCCCTTCTCTATGAGAATCTCGGCTCTGTGGGCACCGGCTTGACCCCCCCACCGGTCCTCAGGTCCGCCTCGTGAACTGCTCTGTCTGTCTGCACCCCACCCCCTGCCCACGTCTGACTGGCAGTAGTCTTATACCCCTGTTTCCCTGTCCTCCAACAGAATGGGGCTTCTGCTGAACCAGTCCGGCCGCCACTCCCACTCGCACGCGCCCCCTGCCGGCTCCCCTGGCCCAGGGTCCGGGGCCCACCGTCCGGGACAGGACAGCCTGGCGGTGCGGGCTGCCTTCGTGCATGCCCTCGGGGACCTCGTGCAGAGCGTCGGCGTGCTCATCGCCGCCTACATCATCCGGTTCAAGGTAATAGGCTGCTTTTCCAATGCATTTAAGTTCAGGGTTGAGACTGCTGGGACCCCGCTGGTCCTGCTGCCTTTGCCCTGATGGGAGTCTGGTCCTGCTGCCTTTGCCCTGATGGAGTCGCTGCCCCAGCAGACAGTCCTTAGCACGGAGCACCGTCTCTCCCAGGGACTCACCTGTGCTCCCTGTGGGGGCACTGGCCCCAGAACTCAGCTGTCAAGGAGCTGCTGACCTTTGGGTGGGGAGAGGCCAGGAGGAGAGCAGGCCCTCCTCTTGGCTCTCCATCTTCAATGCTTTGCCTTGAGGGAGCCCCTGGGTTCAGCGCGCCATCCCACGCTCTAACGGGTGGGGCTGGGGCCTCACCCAGCTCTGGGTGGGGCGGGTGGGCAGGTTAGAGGCGGCACAGGCCTCGGAACAGATCCGTGAGGAGTCTTGCAAGCAGCCTGAGGAGGAGATGACAGGGACCAGGATGTAAAGGCATCCTCCAGTCCCATTAGGGAGAAGCAAAACACAGCGGACGTGGGCCTTGCTTGGCTTTAAGGTCTGCTTTACGTCTGTCCATATTGATCACACAGCTTTGATCTGTTACCTTTTAGCCAGAATACAAGATTGCTGACCCCATCTGCACATACGTGTTTTCATTACTCATGGCCTTCACCACATTCCGCATCATCTGGGACACCGTGGTGATAATACTAGAAGGTGAGCTCTCCTTGCTCCCCGCAGCTTGCTCATCCCTGGGGTGGTGGAGTGAGAGGACCCTGGGGAGAGCTGTGGCTTGTGGGACCAGGACCTTGCATTTACCAGGCAAGCACTTACTCCACTGAGCTGTCTCCGCAAGCCCCACTCTCGCCCATCTCTTATCAACTCTCCCTTGCTTCCGGCAAGTGCAGCTCTGGTTGGGTTTTGGCGTTTTGAAGCAGGGTCTCATATTGTGCTGTGCAGGCAGGTCTGGCACCGTGCCTCACCATGTCGCCCAGGCTGGCCTCCCGTTTGCCGCAGTCCTGCCTCAGCCTCCCAAGGGCTGGAATCAAGGGGGGAGGGGCGTGCTTCTTGGCGCAGTTTTATCCAGTGATTTACTTCATTCTTTAATTCCCGCTTAACTGTGGCTTGGCTGCATTGTGGCACCCTTCCTTCCACGTACCTGCGTAAGCGCAGAAGTGAAAGCCCTCTGCGGCGGGGTTGTCACTCTCACGTGTTCCTCTGGGCCTTTCTTCTTTTGTCTTTTTTGGTCATCTTAGCTTATTTTGGCATTCTTTTTAATGAAGGAATATTTTAGTGTATATTAACTTCGTGTAAAAAAAAGAACTCGTGTTAAAAACTCCTCTTTTCTTCCTGAGTGAGCTTCTACGGCGCGTGTTCTTCTAACTCGCAGGTGTGCCGAGCCACCTGAATGTGGACCGGATCAAGGAAGCGCTGATGAAGATAGAAGACGTGCACGCAGTAGAAGACCTGAACATCTGGTCTCTCACGTCGGGAAAGTCCAGCGCCATAGTCCACATGCAGCTAAGTACGCGGCTCAGGTCGGGGGTCCGCGGGGAGCAGGCCGCGCCTGTGCTTCGGGCTCCGTAGGCTCATTTCCGAAGGAAAGTCCTGGGTCAGGACTGAGAGCCAGAAAAGAACATTGCAGACTGAGCTCTCCCTTCAGAGGAAGGGCGTGCAGTCTGTGCTATTCATTTATTTATGCTCTCTATTTAAATCATCTTGCAGATAGAGTCCTTTTAAATTTTCATTAAAATAATACATGTATGTGATTCATCTTTAAAAGTGCATGGGCCAGCCAGATAGCTCAGCAGATTAAAGCACCCCTTTAGGCAGACACAGGGACAAGGGTTCGATCCCTGGCTTGCCATGCTGGCCCTACCCCCACGGTGAGCTGAACCGGGCGTGGTGGCGCTGGCCTGTAATCCCAGCACTTGGGAAGCTGAAAACAGGAGGATCACTGCGAGTCTGATGCATGTAGTGAGACCCTGGAGAGCCTGCACCAAATACAAAGATAAAAAATAAAAGTGCATGAGATCTTTAATGACAGGCTTGTAAGCGGTGCCTGATCCTCCTTCTCTAACCGAGAGAGGTCCGGATGTGTAGCCCGACCCTGACAGGAGCGCCCAGTAAGCGTAGACGGCCCGCTGGTGCAGATGTGCCCCGCCGCGAGGCGGTGCTCCCAGTGTCCTCACCCCAGGTACGAGTGGCCGCGCAGAGGCGGTAACGTGGCGTCCTTGCCCTTGCAGTTCCTGGCAGCGCATCCAGGTGGGAGGAAGTGCAGTCAAAGGCGAAGCACCTGCTCCTGAACACCTTCGGCCTGTACAGATGCACCATTCAGCTGCAGAGCTACCGGCAGGAGGTGGCCAGGACTTGCGCGAGCTGCCAGAGCTCCAGCCCCTGAGCCTGGGCCCAGCTCTGCTGCCTTACGTGACTGCGTCACGGACTCAAGAGCAATAAACGCCACCTGAGGACAAAGCGGGGCCCCACGGCCGGACTGCATCTAGCCCCAGTCTCAGAACAGTCACTCCGGCCTGCCAGTTGGCGTCTGCGCCATTTCCAGATGGGGATGTTTCCAAGATGCTGTTTACAGAGAGACAACTCTACAGATACCTCACGGAAGAGCGTCCGCTCACTGACAGTCCTGTGTCCACGGAAGCATATCACGGCTCAGTATTTACGTGTAAAAATGCTTTCCAAGGCCATTTTCTATGAAGCCAGTGCTAGAAATCAGAGTTGTTGTTTTTTAAATTTCAGTAATCTTGACATCCAGCTTCTGAATTGCTGCTGTTTTTACAGAAATTTTCTCAGCCGATTTCAGAAAATACTAGTAATTACACAGAGTAGAGCATGTACTCATTCTTCAGTGTTTCAGAGAAGTCTCATTTCATAAGTAAGTCTCAATGTTATTGTCAGAGTTATACTTTATAAGCAACTTTTTCCAGAGTTTCGAATCTCAGAGTTGACCATTTGATTATCTGTAGGCTTATCAGAACCCAATCTTTACGTGTTGTGATTGGTCACTGTCATTAAGTTGCTTAGGAAATATTTTCGATACAATTCTGAATGGCAGAAATGAATCTTAAATTCAAATTACCATGCGGTTATTTAAAACAAAGAAGTGAGAGTAGGGTATAGAGTTTCAGATATACATTTGTCCAAAGTCCCTTTTGCTGCTCTTTGGTGGCTTGAAGCGTAGATGACGGCCGTCCCTTGAGGAGCTGCCAACTTTTGCACAGCTTGCTTTGTACCATGGTTCCCGTGTCTCGGCTCACCTGTCTGCACTTTCTGGGTGGCTCCCAAGGGCCACAGTTCAGCTTGGAGCCCCACAGTGAGCTCCCCACGTAGGTGACGCACACGCTCCAGAGAGACCTGTGGTTTACGCTGTGGGCTGGGGATTCTCCACAGACCCCACCAAGCTCAGAGGATTGGGAAGAGAGAGCTGCTTTGAGACCATAAAGCGGCAGGAAGGGGTGTGTGTGTGTGTGTGTGTGTGTGTGTGTGTGTGTGTGTGAAGCCCGGGAGGGGACGTGCGTCTGGTCTGCTATGGAGGCAGCGCTAACATTTCCAAGCCAAAGCCGCCCTTGTTGGTGACAGTGAGAGGTCAGTCTCGGCTCCTCAGAGTCACGAGTTGTGAGCTGAAACCCTGAGGGGCGCTGGAGCCTCGCCCGGCTGTACTCAGGCACTTTCCTATCTGAGGTGCAGGGGCTGCTTTTCCTGCTGACCTGCTCCTAACGGTGACTTGATAAAGTGGCCCTGCATCCTTCTGTGGGTGGCAGACAGCTTTGCTAACGCGCAGCAAGGCCGAGACCGCTGCGGGTGCGCGCCCCACTGAAGAGAGGAGCGCGGGAAGCTTTCCATGCTTTATCTCTAGCGCAGATGACAGCTCTGTTTGTACCGTGCCGGATCTGCAAGATTAGAGAGTGGCAGATGGCCTTTTCAGTAACGTGACCACCCTTCTCGGGGCGGATGCACGGCTTCCGGTGCAGAGCCCTGCGCTCGTGTGCTCCTCGAGCCGTGGCCACCCAGTCCAAGCTGCTCGCCCATCTCAGTGCTGTCCCCAGAGGCAGGCGGCTTGACAGGCTCGAGCCCTGCCAGGAGGACGCCACAAGCAAAACCCAGCTGCTCATGCGATCTGTACTAAGTGATATTTGCAGGCTGTCAGAGTGGCCTGTGTTTCTAGCTCTGGCCAGGTGAGGCCTTTTGATTTGTCTTAGAGAAAGATCTCTGGTTCCTTTCCTGATCTTGCTGCCTTAGGGAATGGGGTGGAATGAGACACATTCCGCTAGCTCGGCTTGCTGTGTACCATCAGAGCTGTGCATTCCTACATCCGCCTGCCTGCAGCGCTGCCTCAGGTGACGGAGCAGAGGTCTTAGTCACACCCCGTCCTGTGTAGGATCACTGGGTTTCTTAAAGTTCCCTTGTAACTGTGGCTGCTTTGTTTGCACTCCCCCAAAATAGGTGTCCTGCTTCCGTGAGTCTCCGCAGTCCAGCTCCTGAGCGGAGGTGTCCTGAGACTGTCTGTCTTCACCAGCGCAGTCAGGGCAGGATGGCGCAGTCCAGTGAAGGGCAGCGTTTTTCAGAGCCAGGACACCCCGTAGGGAGAGGGGTTTTTTATGGGAGGAAGAACTTTTGAAACAGCCGATGGAGCCAGGCGCGGCAGCACACACTGCAGTCCCAGCACTGGAGGCTAGAGCAGGAGGGTCACTGAGAATTGGAAGCCAGCCTGGGCTGCTTAGCAAGGACCTGTTCAGAAAGCAGCAAATAGCTGGTTGCTCTGCCCTGGAAGCCCTCGAGCCTGTTTTGCAGACATGGACCAATGACATGGCACCCCCAGCCAGGACCATCCTTAGCCCTCCAGGTCATGCTTTTGAAGGTGACTCTGAAACAAGCACGACTTGGCTAACTCCGTGTTCTTATGCATGTATGTTAGTCGGTTCATCATAATTAGTAACTGTTCATAATAGAATCTGAAGCGCTTTGAAGTAAAATTTCAGGCAGTTTGCTATGACCACCTTGTAGGTGGGATGTTGAATGTCACAGTGCCTCCTTCAGGCAGGCTTAGTCCATTGGCTGGTGTCTCTGGCGTAGTGACACTGGAGGGAGTGGCCTGCTCTGCCCATACCTGGGGAAGCTCACTGGCACTGAGGTGGGCAGCCTGGAAAAAGAGTTCCGGGCCATGCTGCCACCCCTCAGGTGGCTTGGGGCTGGTCACAGGTCACACTCCAGGCTGCTGCTGCTGCTGGAAGCAGGGGAACTGTGCAGTGCGGGGGAGCTAGGGTCCCCACGTGAGACCCTGGGTGTACCCAGGCCGGCCAGCCCTCACGAAGGTCCTGGATCAAGGGCACCTGCCGGCTTTGTGACAGCATTTCTGAGGGGTCCCCTGTCTACTAGGGCAATGCAGCTTACTCGTGCAGCGGGGAATATTCTGAAATAAATGCAGCTCAAAACTGCAAGGCAGCAGTGTGCCAGCTCAGCTGGGTGACGCAGTGTTGGGATCCGTACGCTTCTGAGTGGGTGGGCGGGTAGTGTTATTGCATAAGCCATACCAGTTTTAGAAACCTATTTCCCATGAACCCTCAGAACCAGGTATTTTGCACACGCTTGATCTTAGCAGGACTTTGACCTGGGTTTGTCAGTGTAAGGTCAGAGTGTATGTGTGTGTTCTGTACTTGCAATTTTAAAATTGTAATTTCCTATACATTTATTAAATAAAGTGTTTTTGCTATGTGGTTTATTAAAAAATGAAAACATATAGCCCGTTTGATCTTTGATCTTTTTTTAAATAGTCAAAAGCCTTAACATATTGTTAAGAATCACTGGAAAGTGCACTGGCCTATCTAGACTTATTTAAGAGGTGCTGACCTCTTAAATGTTTACAAAATTAACTTGGAAAAAGCTTGCAGGCAGGACAGCAAGAGGCTTAGAGCTCCTGTCTCTCCTGTGTCAGTTGCTTCCAGCAGCCCTCTGGACCACGGAAGGATAGAAGCCATTCTCAGAGTTAGGTGGGAACCAGTGTGACATCCCAGTGGATGTCTGCTGTCTGCCAGCAGCAAGGGCAGGTGAGGGGGCTTTGCACAGACCAAGTCTGCTCTGCCCAGCAGGGCACAGTCATCTCAGCACTCAGGAGGCTGAGACAGGAGGATTGCTGCAAGGTTGAGGCCAGCCTGGGCTGCACAGGGAGATCCTGTCTTAAAAAGACAGAAGACCTAAATGGCCAAGAATTTTATTTTTATTTATTTATTTTTTTATTTATTTTTACATTTTGTGTGTGTGTGTGTGTGTGTGTGTGTGTGGCCAGCTCAGCCCACCAGGGGGCGGGGCTGGTTGGCATGTGGTGCTGGGGGATTGAACCGCGGTCCCTGTGCTTTGCTAAGCTTGTTCTAAGTAGGTGCTTTAGACCACTGAGCCATCTCTCCAGCCCCAAGAATTTTATTTTTTAATCAGTGAAATAAGCATCAGAAAGCTGAGGCAGGGGCCGGGAGATGGCTCAGTGGAATAAGTACTTGCCTGGCAAGGGCCAGAGTTCAATCCCTGGTTCCACCAAAAAAAAAAAAAAAAGAAAGAAAGAAAGAAAGCTGAGGCAGGCAAGTCAATTCAAGGCAGCCCAGGGTACATGGTCCAAGGCCAGCCTAAGCTATGTAGCAAGACCTGGTCAGGAAATAAAATCAGTGGAACAGTCCCACTTCACCTATTTCACGAGTCCATTGAGCGGTTCCTTGTCATGGACACTTTCCGGGTGGACTGCAGGGCTAATCAGTGGTGGCAGATGCATTGGTCACTGTCGTGGGCAGCATTGCAGGGGGTGGGGTGGTTGTGGAGGGACTGAGGCTGGGGTGTAGACATGGAAGCCACAGGGCCCCCCAGGGAGGTCACCATGACGCTGGTCAAGGCCTCTGGGTGCAGAGCAGTGTCCCCTCCTTTTACAGCCCCTCAGGGTTGGGGCAGAAATGAGAAAATCGCGCTTCAGGCCCCTGTGTATCTGAGTGCTCAGCGGGACCCCGGGGGCGGGACCGGAGCCTGGCGACTTGCAAGCTTTTCACTTGATTTTTAAAATTCTTCCCTTAATATGTAGCAATAAATAAAGGCAATGAAAATGCACATAGGGATCCTTACATAGTTTGCACCAGGCAGGAGCCCACAAATGAAAAATAACACCTTGTCCGGTAAGATTAAAACTTGTCGGCTCTTACTAGGACCTCTACAGTTTTCAAGTTACCTAGGAAACAATCGGGCTGTAGTTGCACCAGGTAATAGAATATAGTCGTAGGGAAGTTACGCTAAGTACGGAAGTAAAAAAAAAAAAAGAAACAAAAAAAAAAGCCCAACAAAATGGGGAGACGGCTCAGTGGAAATAAGCTCTTCCCTGGCAAGCGCACAGGCCTGAGTCCAATCTCTGGTTCTGCCAAAAAAAAGAAACTACAGAAGTATTACGAATTCTTTGCCTACCTAGCTGTATTTCTACTTCAATGTCTGGGGTTTGCAGGCAGCTGGTTTGGGTTTTTGTTTGGCCTATGTCAGAATGTTTGGGGGTAGCCATCTTACAGGCTCGCATTTATGCTAGGCTCTTGGCTTTTTTTCATATGTACCTTCTGTTGATTTCTTGGTTTTTTTGAGAAAGCATCTCCCTGTGTAGCCCAGGTTGACCTCAAACTCATGAAGATCCTCCTGCCTCAGCCTCCCAAGTGTTGGGCTCACAGGGATGCCACCACACCTAGCCTCATTTCATACGTACCCGAATAATATTTGGGGTTACGTTTTTAACTTCAGTTGTGGTTCTGTTAGAATTGCTAGAAGCTATGAAAC